GATAGATAGATAGATAGATAGATAGATAGATAGATAGATAGATAGATAGATAGATAGATAGATGATTAGATAGAGATAGAGATATGTAAGCATCATAGAATCAAGACCTTTGACTAGGGAGCCTATTCAGAACATGCTGTTGTCTGGTATGAGATTTTCTCACTTGCTTTTGTTCAACTAGATGATCTGCCAATCAGGTTGGCACTATGATGTCGTGATGGAATCCTGTAAGATCAATGCATCAAGACCAGCATGCATATGGAATATGGCATAGCTAAGTGTTTCTCAACCTGGGCCACTTTAAGATGGGCGGACTTGCTGGCTGTGGAATTCTGAGAGTTGAAGTCCACCCATCCTAAAGTGGCCCAGGTTGAGAAACACTGTTAACCTCCTCATTGAGTAGCCTTGGAGCTGGTTCTCCATTTCCCAGCCCAAGGCAAATAACTTGCACGCTTTCTAATCCAACTGAAAGTCAAATGCATATCTTTCCCTAATTGCAGGTACCGAACAGACTAAGCAGATTGTATTTGGGCCAACCAAAGAGCCGTCATTTGTCACCGTTCCTCACCACAGCTTTGGCGAACCATTCGTGTTGAGTCCTCATGTTTGGTCTCTGATCATTGAAGCTGAAGATGTCCTCCTTGTAAGTCTGCCCTTCCTTTTCTCCCTACAGGCAGGATGGAGGGAAAAGGAATCTGGGTCTCATATTTCCATTCTTCCTTCCAGGATTACCTGGTTCTGCTTCCCAGCTCTTATTATGAAGCTCCTATATTGCAATATAAAGTATCGGATCCTTGTACCTATAGCCCAGCTCCTGAACAAGTGGGTCAAAAGTAAGCCTTCCATTTTCATTTTTTATCATATCTTTGTACTGCATTTGACCTACACCGCTCAAGCACCTCCTGCACGTGGGAGTGGAGCTTCGCATGCGACCGCAAGAATAGAATAGAGTAGAGTAGAATAATAGGGTAGAATAATGATGGGATGGAATAGGATATAGAATAGAATAGAATAGAATAGAATAGAATAGAATGGAATGGAACGGAACGGAACGGAACGGAACGGAACAGAATAGAATAATGACAGGGTAGAATAATGACAGAGTAGAATAATGATGGGATGGGATGGAATGGAATGGAATAGGATAGGACAGGACTTCAACTCCCAGAATTCCTGAGCCAGCCATGAAGTCCATGAGTCATAAAAGAGCCATATCGGATAGGATATAGAATAGAATAGAATAGAATAGAATAGAATAGAATAGAATAGAATAGAAGCACAAGCACCCTCCACTTGCGCACAAAGCTCCATTCGCGTGACTGGAGGGTGCGCACATACGCCACTCGCACAAATGGAGTTGTGCGCGGATGCTCATGCCTGCCCCCCCCCACAAACACACACAGACACACCGCCGGGCCGGGCCACCAAATTGGAAAGGTTGGGAATCATTGCTATAGAACATACTAAAAAATAAATCAGCCATCTTAGAACAGAAGTTCAGGTTTATTATTGGCAAGTAAACACTTGCTAGGATGATATAATAACCTAAGATTAAACCAAAGGGTAAGTCCCTTTCAAGCCAGATTGGATTTTCATGGACATTCCGATGTAATTTTCTTGGCAACCATGTGGAACTGGTTTGCCTTGTCTTCTTCTGATGTTTTTTTTTTCAGTTTCTCAGTCTAGTCTGAAGCCACGGAATTTCCCAGAGATCCAAGTAAAATAATAACAATTAAAAAAGAAAAACATTGAAGTAAAATCAGGTCTGACAAATGAACTAAGCTAAGGTCAGATAAGTGCTGCTGTCTGTTTGGGGCAATTTTTCCTCTTCAAAATATTTCTACAGATTTTACTTGACTGGGAATTTGGCCAGGATTGAAATAATACACGAAAAAGGACCGAAGTCCCAAAAACTTTTTAAATCCTGTGAGCTGATGGGTTCATTCTGTTTAGAAGTACAAAGTGAATATTGAATAAATTCTGGGTTTTACTTTGGGCCTATAAAAGACTCATTTTTTCCAAGTAGGTTTAGGTTTAGGGAAGAAGGAGAACCAGCATGAATCCTATTGTATCTATCCCTTCCTTTATTTTTTTGCTTCTGGCATTTTAAAGACAAACTTGAAAGGATATGTGAAATGTTTCCTCTTGATCAGTGATGGGAAATGTCAACCTCTTGATCCATTTTTGTAAGTCCTGCCTGATTCCTTCCTCTCTCTAAATTCAGAGGTGGCTTGCCATATAGGGAGTGAGAGACGGAGACAGGATGTTAGGAAGAGTGTGAGAGATAAGAGCAGTGTCAGAGAGGGAAGCCAGAAAAGGGAATGGAGGAAAAAAAGTGAGAAACAGAATTCTGGCCATATAATGCTCTGGCCACGTCCACTGTTGATTTTGGTCTGCCTACTGCTAACAAGCATTCTGCATCGGTTGATGTCCCCAGAGCAACGTTGCTTAAAAAAAATAGGTTTATTTGTATCCCGCCGTTATTATTTTATACATACGCACAAGCACACAGACGTATATATGTGTGTGTGTGTGTGTAAGTATATGAATGTGTATGTGTGTCTGCATTTTTATACACATACACACACATATATACACACACATACATACATGGCACATGTATGTGTGTATGTTTGTGAGCCAGTTGGCTGTGAGACTCGTGTGTGTGTATGTGTATGTATGTATGTGAATATATATATGTGTGTCTCTGCATTTATATATATATATACACATACACACATATACATATGCACACATACATATACACACATTTATATATATACATACACATACATACATACACATACATACATGCACACACATGTATGTATGCGTATATGTGTAATTATATGAATATGTATATGTGTGTCTCTATGAGTGTATGCATATGTATGTATGTTTATATCCGGATGTGTTGTCTGTGTATTTACACACATATATTCATATACTTAACGCATATATACTTATATACATATATATTTATATATAATTGTCTCTCTGTGTGTGTATTAGCAAGCTAAATAAAATGATAATATTGCACTTGCAGATAATTCTGCTTGTAATGATTTTTTGTCCTCATTTATCTGTAATTTGGACACTAGGGCTAAATAATTATTTTCTATTCTTTCCAGTTGCTTCCTATATAGGTATTTGCCTGTGGAGCAGTTCTCCTTTGTGTCAGGCGAAGATGCTTTGTGCAAGTTGGACAACAACTTACCAAGACCTTGTCCTGCAGAGCAGATCTTTCCTACCTTCCCCAAATTGGTGCTGTGTAGTGGCACTCGTGTAAGTAATTCCATTATCGTGTTAAATCTTCATTTAAAGCAGGGTTCTTCAAACTTGACCCTTTTAAGACTTGTGGACTTCAACTCCCAGAATTCCTCAGCCAGGCACGTGCCTGGCTGAGGAATTCTGGGAGTTGAAGTCCACAAGTCCTAAAAGGGCCAAGTTTGAAGAACACTGATTTAAAGCTTCTACGTAAAAATATGATTCCTGAGGTTTGGGAATCAGAATCAACCCTGATACTGACATTTTTCAGATGTTAGAAAGCCAACATTATTGAATGGAAGAGAAACATTCATATTCAGTAGATTTAAACTAAATTACGTTTAGCTTTGTCCTGGCTGTGTCCACTTTAGTTTGGACATGCTTCCTAGAGGCCCTTTGAAAATAGGTAGTGAAGGGTTCTTGGTGTAACAAAATAGTTCCTCTCTATCAGTTTTTACGCTTTCTTTACGCTTTCTTTCAGATAAGAGGAAATGCTTTCATCCTCTGTGTTTGTAGGTGATGTACCACCAGAGCCGTGGTGGCACAGTGGTTAGAATGCAGTATTGCGGGCTAATTCTGCTGACTGCAGGCTGCCAGCAGTTTGGCAGTTCGATTCTCACCGACTCAAGGTTAACTCAGCCTTCCATCCTTCCGAGGTCGGCAAAATGAGGGCTGAAGCAGTATATAAGTCTTAGTGCTATTGCTACTACTGGCACCCATAGGAAGAGAAGGGAGTCAAGATGGCAGCCATGGGGATCCACCATCAGAACCATCCTCTTGAATTCTCTCTCTCTCTCTCCCTCTCTCTCTCCCTCTCTCTCAGACACTCTCTGCCCCCCCCCCCCCGCTCACATATAGCAATCTGGAATTAAGAAGAAATTTCCTGACAGTTAGAACAATTAATCAGTGAAACAAATTGCCTCCAGAAATTGTGAATTCTCCAACACTGGAAGTTTTTAAGAAGAGATTGGGGAGCCATTTGTCTGAAATGGTGTACGGTTTCCTGCCTGAGCAGGGAGTTGGACTAGAAGACCTCCATGGTCCCTTACAGCTGTATTCTGTTCTATTCTATTCTATTCTATTCTATTCTTATTCTATTCTATTCTATAGATCTTAAGTACAGACATTTCATTACCGTACTAGGTAACATCATCAGTGCTGGAAGGGAGTGGGGTTTGCATTGATGATGTTAGCCAGTTGGGTAATGAAACAACCAAGCTCAGACAGCAGCAAGGACATCATAATTCAATCCTGAGTTACAAATATTCTCTTCTTAGATGTACCAATGCTTTTGGGGAAAAGTTGTTTAATTTTGCAAGTCTATCTGTGGCTGCTAGTTCTGATAGACTGATGCAAGTTCCATATTTATGTGCAATAAACCTGTGAATAATTAGTTGCAATCTAGTTTGTTGGCTTTCTGAAAGCAGCTGGTTGATCATTATAGGAAATGAAAAACTGGTAAAACTGGTCTAAAGTTTGCTCTGATCCACCTGATCTCCTCATCCCCAAATCCTTGTCAGCAAGGAAAAACTTCCTGGACATGTCTTTCAGACTCAGTTTAAACAGCCCAGAATTTGTCAAACTATTATTAAAAAAATGTTAGCCCAAATTCTCTGTTTCCTGACTTGGAAACTGAGGCCTGGGACATAGAAAAATAGGTTCCCTTTATACACTTCCTATGATATGGATCTGTCTATGGAGATTCTCAGTCCTCCAGGTCATGGTTGTCACAAAGGTGCTTTTTCAAGAGGCAACTGGACTTTCTTGTTTTTTTTTTGAAGACGTTTCGCCTCTCATCCAAGAAGCTTCTTTAGCTGAGAAGCGAAACGTCTTCAAAGAAAAACAAGAAAGTCCAGTTGCTTCTGGAAAAAGCACCGTTGGGACTATGGTATGGATCCTATTAAAATAAATACACGTGGGATTTGTTTATTTTTATACATTTATTTATATTCTACCTTTATTATTTTTATAAATAACTCAAGGTGGCCAAGATATCTAATACCCCCTCTTCCTTCTCCTGTTTTCCACATAACAACAACCCTGTGAGGTGGGTTGGGCTGAGAGGGACTGACTGGTCCAAAGTCACCCAGCCAGCTTTCATGGCTAAAGCAGGACTAGAACTCAGGGTCTAAACCACACCATTAGCTGTCTACATGCCTCAAATCAATGCTGCAGTTGAAGTGCAAAACTTTTTAGTTTTGGACAAGATACAGAACTTTCATTTATAATAGTAATAGTAGTAATAATAATAATAATAATAATGTTGATGATGATGATGATGTTGGAAGGGACCATGAAGGTCATCCAGTCCAACCCCCTGCTCAGGCAGGAAACCCTAAGTGGAATTTTCCTCCAATGGGATTTTCCCATGTATTTTACCAGGAAACCTAGATAGGGCAGACTAGAAAAGTCAGTGCCTTCCTAACCATACCCAAGAACTCCGAGTTCGTTGGCGATGTCCATTTTTCTCTATGAGTTCATGGTGATCTAACCCTAACCCTAAGTGGAATTTTCCTGCAATGGGATTTTCCCATGTATTTTACCAGGAAACATAGATAGGGCAGGCTAGAAAAGTGAGTACCCTAGTAACCATACCCAAGCACTCCGAATTTGTTGGCGATGTCCATTTTTCTCTATGAGTTCATGGTGACCTAACCCGAAGCCTAAGTGGAATTTTCCTCCAATGGGATTTTCCCATGTATTTTACCAGGAAACATAGATAGGGCAGGCTAGAAAAGTGAGTACCCTAGTAACCATACCCAAGCACTCCGAATTTGTTGGCGATGTCCATTTTTCTCTATGAGTTCATGGTGACCTAACCCTAAGTGGAATTTTCCTCCAATGGGATTTCACGTGTATTTTACCACGAAAGATAGATAGGGAAGGCTAGAAAAGTCAATGAATTTCTAACCATACCTAAGGCTTCCGAATTTGTTTGCAATGTCCATTTTGCTCTATGAGTTCATGGTGACTTAACCCTAACCCTAAGTGGAATTTTCCACTGCCATTTCAGACAAATGGCTCTTCAGTCTCTTCTTAAAAACTTCCAGTGTTGGAGCATTCACTGCTTCTGGAGGCAGGTTGTTCCACTGATTAATTGTTCTCACTCTCAGGAAATTTCTCCTGAGTTCTAGGTTGCTTCTCTCCTTGATTAGTTTCCATCTGTTGCTTCTTGTCCTGCCTTCAGGTGCTTTGGAGAATAGCTTGACTCCCTCTTCTTTGTGGCAGCCCCTGAGATATTGTAACACTACTATCATGTCACCCCTCGTCCTTCTGTTCATTGAATCCTGCTTCTTATATTTGCAATAGAAGACAAACATATATGAGTTCTGGGTCTCCCGTATGACTTCTACTACAAGGAGTTTTCAAAAAAGGTTGTCTCGAAGAAAAAATTGATGCCAAAAAATGGCTTATATGAGGTTTTTATGAAGAATCTGTTTGAAAGCACACCCAATCTTTTGCTTAATTCTGCTTTTTTTTTTCAACAGGTTGAAGTACAACTGGTAATTCCTGTCCCCCAGCCAGGGAGATACATGCTTCTGATGGAGTATGCCAATGAAGATACTCCACAGACCACTGAGGTATCTGTGAGCACCCCACAGATGGTTCCTCGGCTGGGCGCTCTTATGATATACACCTGCAAATACAGGTAAGTTCCCAAATAAGGCGACAAGGGAAGTTGTGGAGTTGATCAACTTTTCTTCTCTTACCTTTTACTGTTAGGTTCCAGATTTTCAATCAAATAGCAATGGCAGTAGCACTTAGATCTATATACCCCTTCATAGTGCTTTATAGCCCTCTGTAAGCAGTTTGCAGAATCAGCATATTTCCCCCAACAATCTGGACCCTCATTTTACTGACCTCGGAAGGATGGAAGGCTGAGTCAACTCAGAGCCGGTCGGGATCGATCTTCTGGCAGTGGGCAGAGTTAGCCTGCAGTACTGCATTCTAACCATGTGCCACAACTTCCTAAACTGAGAATGCAGGTAGTCCTTAACTTACAACAGTTAAGTGACCGTTCAAAGTTACAATGGCACTGAAAAAAGTGACTTATGACCATTTTTCACATTTACGACTATTGCAGAATCCCCATGGTCACGTGATCAAAATTCAACCACCCGGCAACTGGCATGTACTTATGACAGTTTCAGTGTCCCTGGATTGTGTGATCATCTTTTGTGACCTTCTGATAAGCGAAGTCAAAGGGGAAGAAAGATTCACTTAACAGCGATTCACTTAGCAGCTGATCGTAAAAAGGGACAAAACCCAGTTAACAACTGCCTCGCTTAGCAATGGAAATTTTGGGCCAAAATGTGGCCATATGTCGAGGACTGCCTGTAACCGTTTGGACTTTGTCTGTTTTGATTGTCTAACCTGGCCTCAGCATTTTTAGCCTTCTCATTTACAGCTTTTCGGTTTCAAATATTTTATTAGCTTTTATCAAAATAAAGGTATCCTCAACTTAGCAACAGTTCATTTTAGTAACTGTTTGAAATTACAGCATCAATAAAAAAGGGACTTATGACTGTTTTTTAATACTTATGACCATTGCAGCATTCCCGTGGTCCCGTGGTCATAATTCAGATGCTTAGCATTTTTGACTCATATTTATGACGGTTGCAGAGTCCCGGGATCACGTGATCCCCTTTTGTGACCTTCTGATGAGCAAAGTCAATGGGGAAGCCAGATTCACTTAACAACCGTGTTGCTAACTTACCAACTGCAGTGATTCACTTAACAACGGTGGCAAAAAAGGTCATAAAACGGGGCAAAAACTCACTTAAGAAATGTCCCACTTAGCAACATAAATTTTGGGCTCAGTTGGGGTCGTACCTAAAGGACCACCTGCGTAAAATAGAGAACTACAAAGAAAAGAGGGGCGGAAAAGGGGAAAAAGAAAAAGTGTAGGATAACAGGGCAAAGAAAGGAAAAATCATCGACTTCCGACTCCTTTTGGTGAAGTCTTTTACGGCTGCATAAACAGTCCGTGCCTTGAAAATTGAGTACAGGTAGTCCTCGACTTAGGACCACAGTTGACCTCAGAATTTATGTTGCTAAGTGTCATGCCTCCGTGGGAGCCTGAATCTGCGGAGGAAAATGAGCTGGAACGGGACCCTATGGAGGTCGAGGGAGAGGTGTCTGTGGTTTTAGAGGAATGTGGGGAAGAGCAGGCAGAGGCAGGTCAGGGCCCTTCAGGAGTGGGACAGGAGGAACAGGAGAGGCAGAGTTCAGGCGATGAGCAAGGGTCACCCCCACCTGATCCTAGAGCACGGAGAGTGGAGAGAAGGAGGGAACAATGCAGGCAGGCTCAACTACTTGGGAGGAGAGCATCCCACCTCTCTCCACAAGGCACACCTGGAGACTGAGATTTAAGGAGACGCTGTGGGGAGAGGCATTTGTCGGGAACAAATGCTGATTCCTTGGAGTTTTGTGTGTGTTGTTGCTGATCTCTTGTTCTGTGACTTCTGCTTGGAAACCTGGAAACTCTGACCATTGGACTGGCTGACAACGTTGCTTAGATGTTCAAAGATCTCGGACTGTATTTTGGCTTCCCTTTTGAAACTGCTAAGGCAAGCATGTATTCACACAGACTCATTAGGTTTATGATGTATGTGTCATTCCTTGTTATCTCAATGGCCTTGAGTAAATTCCTCTCTAATCAGACTGTATGTGAAACTCCTTGCAGCCAGAGGCGGCTGAAGGTGTGTGTGTCTTCCTTTGTTTGGAGGCTTGCCAGAAACGTGGGAGCATTTGCGGAAAATTTGGGGCAATTAAAGGGCGGTTTGAATTGCCAGCTGACTGCATTGCCTCTGTGCTGTGCCCTGGGTCATCACACTAAGTGGGAAATTTGTTAACTGTGTTTTGCCCCATTTTATGACTTTTCTTGCCGCATTTGTTAAGTGAATCTTTGCAGAATTGTTTACAATGATGTACAGGTACTCCTGGACTTACAACGACAATTGAGCCCAAAATTTCTGTCGTTAAGCAAAATAGTTGTTAAGTGAATTTTGCCCCATTTATGACATTTCTTGCCACAGTCATTACTGCAGATGTAAAGTTAGGAACCTGGTCATTAAGTGAACCCGGCTTCCCCATTGACTTTGCTTGTCAGAAGGTCGCAAAAGGTGATCCCGTGACCCCGGGACACAGCGACAGTCATAAATATGAACCAGTTGTCAAGCATCCAAACATAAATCAAGTGACCCAGGGGATGCTGCAACGGTCATAATGATGAAAAATGGTCATAAATCACTTTTTTCAGTGCTGCTGCAACTTTGAACGGTCACTAAATGAACTGTTGTAAGCGGAGGGCCACCTATAGGCTGCATCAGAAATTACCGCAGTTGGGTGGACGTTATGTGCTGTTTAGATTCCCGGCCTTGTAAATAGGAGAGGCAGCAATCAGGCCAAAATCCACATCCTCAGAACAAGACATGAGTGAGATTAAAATAGCACGCACATCCTGACCTCCGATGATCTATTTAAACAACTGGACAGTGTTTATATTAATGATGGATGGATTACAGTGTCTGGAACGGCTGTTTTTTTTTGCAAATCGGAACATAGATTGTGACCTTAACAATAGGAAATGAGGCCCTAGGATATCCTTCAGAAGCATCTCCCTGCCATCACTCAACTCATTCAAAGCTCATAAGAGATCTATATTAAACCACAAATGGGGGGGCAGGGGGGAAGACATAAGGGTGAAGGTCCGTTCTCCGAGCTCGTGGGTTGATTTCCAAACATTTCGTTACCAGGCTAGGTAACATCTTGGGTGGAGTTTAGGGGGGATGTCAGTGTCAGGGTTCTTCTGTTTATAAGGGCTTCAGGTGTGGGTGTGTCGAGTGAGGGTCTTGTGATGGGTCAGTTAGGAGTCATCAGGGTCTTGTGATGGGGAGGCTACATCAGGTTAGGGCAGGGGTAGGCAACCTTGGCTCTTTTATGACTCGTGGACTTCAACTCCCAGAATTCCTGAGCCAGCATGGCTCAGCTTGGAAACCTCTCCCTTTTCTCTCAGCATGGCTGGCTCAGGAATTCTGGGAGTTGAAGTCCATGAGTCATAAAAGAGCCAAGGTTGCCTACCCCTGGGTTAGGGTCCTTGGGAGGTGAACTGCTGGTAGGAGGGGGGGGCTTGAATGGGTTGGTTGTGGGTCGATGCTGTTTCTGGCTGGCTGTGCAGTTGATTTGGATTCTGAGGGGTTTCTAATATATTGTAGATAATAATAATAATAATAATAATAATAATAATAATAATAATAATAATAATAATAATAATAATAATAATA